CAGGCGGGGTGGGCTTCTCTTCTGTCACTGTGAATCACTCCTCACTAACAGCTTGCAGTACGAGCTGCTGCTCCACACTGGGCAGCGTCTTCCTCCTCTAATTTACTTGTGGTTTAGGTTTTCTCGATTTTCTTTCCCTTTTGGTTGTACAGTAGCTGCGTAGGAATTGCGCACGGGTTTAACTTTCCTAGAGAAAACAGGATAGGTGACTCTCACTATGACTTAATTGGCTCTTCAGACAGTTCTGTGCTAAAACTTGAAAAATAATTAGCATCTTTCTAGCAAAAGGTGTTTAGAAATTATTTTTTTTTTTAAAAAAAAAGGAACAATAGTAAGGTTTCAGTGTATGCAGAGCCGTTACCTGTCTTGGGGTCTTTCTCTCACAATGTCAGAAGTCAGCTCAAAATACCTTTGAATGCAGCGGTGACTTCTTAACGTTGCCCTGGTTCTCACTGACGTTGTCTGTGCCATGGAAGGAATAGGAAAGACTTCAGTGCTCTGTACTGACTTAAAGGTCTTAGCATTTACCATTTTTGGAGCATGACTTTGGGGTGAAATCCTGACTGGAAGTGTTCTTCGCTGTATCTTAATCTGTAGTGAAGCCTTTAAGTCAGGTGAGCAGATTCAGTTGAATGTTTTCTCACCTCTCTTATCTCCTGACTACTTTTTGTATGCAAACAATAAGCAAAGGTCTCATCAGTGCTTTTCTTGTTTTATATTATATAGTGTTTTGTGTTTGTTTTTTGATTTCCCCTCCTGCAAGACAGGATGGATGTCGCTGGTAAATCACCTGGAAGAAGGTAACCGTTGCTTTGGAATAAGAATGTGGCACTGTTTCTATTCTTGTCACATTACATACCTCTCTGAAATAAAAACAAGCAGAAGTTTGCCATATTCCCCTAAATTTCTGCGACTTGAGAAGATGACATGCGTGAAAATACTTTCAGCCTTTTGGAAGCTGTGTTGGTCAGGAGGCCAGAAGGCTGAGGGTTTAAATTCAGCTTCTCCCACCAAAGAGAGTGAATAGCTTTGTCTGCTTCACATAGCTTATTACCGTCTTAGACCTCCAAGATAAGAGTTACAGTAGCTTTCAGGAAAAAAAAAATAATCTCCAACTGATTTATGTTTTGAGTGTTTGTTTTGTTTTTTTTTTTTTCTTTTAAGTAGGACTGCTACTGCATAACCATCATTGTAAAGTATTCAGTGCAAGAAATAGATGGCTAATTAGGCTATTGTCTGTAGGACACTTGCTAATTTCCACAGTGAATAAAACAAAGTGTGTCACAAATGAGGTACAGATTTGGTGAAAAGAAGAGGGTCTTGTGGTTATGGTAGTGGACTTAATCTGGGGAATGTGTACTGAAACTAAATGCTTCACAGAATTTCTCTGTGATGTTAAATAAGTCATTTCACTCGGTTTCCATTAGTGACGGCTAATTGTTTGTGCTTCATTTTTCAGGTATTCAGCTTGAAACAAGGGCCTGATTTGTGGAACTGGTGGGCAGTTAAAGCTCCATCTGAAGCTAATGAGAATTGCAGATGCCCTAATACCACTGAAAAAAATCAGGCCCTAGGCCTGATTTGAACTAGGTACTTAGAAATTAGGGGACTCTGTAAACTTGTAACATCTCTGTGCTTCAGTTTTCTAGCTGTGGAGGTTGGTAGTTCTTTTCAACTCGTCCCATTTCCTCCCAAAACAACACCAATTCATTGAATATTTTTTTTATTTTTTATTTTTGAGGCACTCAAATAGCCCTGTTAAAAAGTGCAGCAAGCTGCAAGGACACAGAATGTCCTTTTTTCAGGACAGGAACCAGAAGGTGTGCAATAAGTTAGAACTGGCATTTTATGCTGACTAAGAACAAACTAAATGCCTGCCTCATTATCTCACAGTCATCTTTTAGATAAATTGAGCAGGAGGGTCCACTTGGAAAAAAAAAAAACACAAAAGTAATTAATAATTCAGGTAATTAAAAATGTGTCGTAGCACATACCAAAGAGAAGGAAACAGTTAAGGTTTTGTGAGCTCTTTTAGTTCTAACAAAAATTCTTGTTTTAAAGTCATAATGAGTAGGGTTTATATGGTGATAGGACAGTATGGTGCAGCCCCAGTTGTCACTGCGCTCGCTTATTTTCTCTTTGGGGTATGTATTAGAAGGTAGTTCGTACCAATTTCTCACTGAAGTCACGAATTCTTCATAGGTTGTATCTTTAGTATCGTTTTGAGAACAATTGCCCACCATTTCACAAATGATGTTCCATCAGTGATAAAAGCAATGAGAACAGTAGCGCTGAATCTTTCACTGATGGGAGCTTCCTCCTCCTGATGTTATAGCAAATTATAAAAGGACAGAGAGCAGGTTTTAACTATTGTCTCTAAACCAATGTGTGGTTTGGTTTTGGTGACATTTGCATTTAGAATGCGTTCAGCACTAGTTTCAGTGAAGTTTCGCTAAACAAAGCCTCTGCCTGAAATACGCTGACTGCAGCAGTGCTATTTTAAGGGTTTACTAGGGTGAAATGTAAGGTCAGTGCTTATTTAATGATACTTAGCTAGTGACTTCATAGTAGCAGTGTTCATGTTGACGTCACTGTTTGCTAGAAAATTGTTTTACAATTCAGCTGTTCAAAATATTGTTTGATGATGATTTTTGCTAATGATTCATCTTGCAACTGAATGAAAACCAATTGCTCATCTGGCAAAGATTTGTAAGAGTGGATTTAAAAAAGATGAAGGACAAGACCTCCTTTTCAAACTTAGATGCTGTTGTGTTTGGAGTTGAAGGCAGAAAATGATGTTAAGGACAACTTTATTTGTCAGTGATTCTTCAGATTTTCTTGCACAATTTCTGATGCTGCCTTTAAAAACAAACTTTTCAGGAGTACGCGAGTTTAATTTTTTTGGCTGTTGCATTAGTATGAATTCTGAATTAAACAGTTCTTCCATTAGTGAAAGTGGGAGTCATGTTCAACATATAATGGAATTGAATGCAGTGCAAGGATCTTTCCTTCAGCAGCAGGTAACAGTACACACAAGACAGCCTTCAGACACATTTGGAGATAAGATTCGTTGTTTTACCTGCTAACAAGATAAGTCTTTGGTTCCTTGTATGTCCTATTTTAAAATACCTAGATGCACAGTGAAAGTTGTCTTGGATACGCTGTTAGTACTACAGTTCTAACAGCCCGTTTTACCACCAGCGGTTCGTGAAAGAGTCAAAGTTGTTTCTGAATATCTGAACTATACCTTTTATTTGAAGAAAACAATGGCCCCAGACCCTTTGTATGGTTTTCTTTTTCAACGTAGAACAATAGCATGTTTGTATATGCTGTGTCCTGCTATTTTAAGAAGTTAACACTTAAGGATTTTATTTTTTTTTTATTATTAATTTTTTTGCAAGTGTCCTGCATTGTCTTCTCAGCAATGCTGCTCCATTATGGGATTGGAGGTCTGAGAAGGTGATCAGGAAGTGGTAATATTGAAAGTATAGTGCAGCCAAACCAATTCATGAAAAGACTTAGCAGCTAAACCTGCTGTGAAGAGACACCGGGTATTAAAAATGCAAACCATTGTCTATACCTGCATTTCTGCCATTAGTGGTACTACTGATTTTGCACAAGCATTAGTGCAGAGATGGACAATTTCTAGAGCTATACCAATATAAAGGCAGGATTTGCAAAACTGTTGAGTAAGCATTATTTCTAGAGGGTAAGTCAGGGTCACATGTTCAGTAGGATCCCACATGATACTGTTATTAAATATCAACATGACAGGATAGAAAAAGAACAATTTTGTTTTCTGTTATCACTTGTCTGGAGCACATTTGGACTGAAAATACTTCATTCTGAGGGCACTGTCTCTTCAAATCTCTGTTCTTGATTAGTTCTTAGGCTGCAGACACAGTCACCTCATTGGAGTTGTTATTACTTCATTTACATCAGCACTTTAAATGCCATAAGGGGTAATATTAGAATAAACTATTGCAAATATTTGGATATGTGCTTCAGTTGTAATCCACAATGTAACTATAGCTCTCCTGTTTTCAAGAACCTCATTTAATTTGTAGTGAAAACATCCCCTCAGTATACAACTCGGCATCTAAATGTTAGTCATTTCTTTATTTCTGCAGTAAAAAGCCTAATCTGATCAATCGATGAGTCTTGCTGAGGCAGGCACGAGCACAGGACCGGCACTGAAGTCTGCTGACTTTTTATTCAAGCCGAGTGTAGCTATTCATCTGCCGTACTTCAGACTGCTGTGGCCAGTGGGTAATAAGTGAATTAATAAGTAAAAGCAAATACTGGAGAGTTTTAAGAAGCACATCTTAGGGAAGTGGTGGTTCTCCTTTTAAACAAAGCTCTGCTTTCTTTTCTTTCCTGTGCTATACAAGCGATGATGGGTAGGATCCCAGTTTTCTAAGAGAGACCTTGCTAGTCAGAGGAGAAATTTTTTAATTAGGTTTAAGAGAAAATCGTTCCGGATTCTTCTGACTAGCTTCTAGAATAAAATGGGTTTTTAACAGTAAAGCTGTAACATGCTTTCAGAGTGCATGGGATGTTTTTCTTTGGGAATTTTTATTAGGGCATTTTTTATGTAGACATTAACTTTCAGTTCTTTATGAAACAAATTTGACCTATGTAATTTGCCATCTTGTTGTGAAGGGATCTCTTTTCAGGAAAGATAGACGGTTTAATAATCTTTAATCTACATTATGCTTTGTATGCAGTCCCTTAAGTTAGAATCGTACTGTTTCTGATTTATTGGTAAGACAGATTACCTACAAAATACAGGCTTATATCCAGAAAGAAAAAGAAGACTTAGTGTCTGATGATTTATTAAAACTGCTAAATTTGGATCTGTTGGAGCACGGAGGGAAAGAAGATTTCAAGACCTAGCAAAAGCGTGCTGGTTTTCAAGATTCAGGTCTCAAAAGCTGGATGTAGTTGGCTGGTCCCAACTTATTTGTGGCATTTTAACAGTAGTTTGAATTTTAGCTGGTATTGCCTGGAAGGGGCATAGAGCATCAGTTTGTGGCCAGCAATGACTCAGGTTACAAATAGGTATGTACTGTAGCAACTGAAATGTGCGGGAGGTGGGCTTGGTCTCTGTATGGAGTAATTTGCAGGTTCTTTAGAGTGTTAGGTTAGTTCATCTTTTTCAATTCACAATTGCTTATTCAGGTATTCTGATGTTTTCACCCCAAAGCACGGGTTCAGTGCCTTTCAAAACCATCTAGAAATGAAGGACCTGGACTAATTCTCTCCAGTATTAAATTACCTTGGCAGGAGTGGAGGGGAGTCCAATCACTAATTTTGAAACACTTTTCCATAGTTTTGCCATGAAAAGGAGCTGCTAGACTGGCTTCAGAAACGTTTGTGGTACAAAGTGACGTTCAATAACGAAGAAGGATGTAGCAGCTAGTCTTTTATAATGTGGTGCTCCCATTTAAGATACTTGAGAGCCCCAACTTAATCGCTAATGCCTATAATGATACTGTGATATACTGTTGTTTTATAGTTTTGTTGGAAGCTATTATGAAGAATGGAAGTACAGCTGGGGGAGGCGCTTACTGCCAAAAACCAGCCAGTAGCAATGATCACAGTAAGCCCAATAGCACGAAGGAGAGCAATGCATCTGCAGCAGGTGAAAGTGGAAAAGGCTACACCAAAGACCAAATGGAAGGAGTATTCAGGTATGGCCTTGCTTAAATACATCACTGCTTTTCATTCTGTGTATTATGTACTTATGCTTTCAGCTCCAGCATCTAAAGAAGCAACCAAAAAATTCAAGGTTAGCTGAGAGGGGTTACTGGTACTGAACTGTCTAAAAGGAAGAGGAGAGTTTCGCTGTGTTTAAACACAGTATGAAACGCTCTCACGTTCTGCGAGGAAGATAATACTCTTCTTTTTACACTATCAGGGTTACTTTATATAAAGATAATACTCAAAATAGTTATTAAGTAGATCTCATGGTAAAGGGAAGAAGTGATGAAAGTTCTATAGTGCAACTTGCAGGACAGTGTTTCTATTCTTAAATATTTTTAAACTTAAGATACGTGCTCACTCCTAAAGTTTATTTTCAGGCTAATCTTGCTGTACAGGCTGGGCTTAGACCTGTGTTAAAACTGTTTCGTTCCGGAAGTACAGGTATCTGAGAAGCCCTGAAGCACATTGTCTCTAAGTTGCATTGTAAACTCTGTCTGGACTTTGTGCAGCATGATGGTATTAAGATGGGGCAATATCAGGAAAGGAGGATGTGCAAAAAGAAACAAAGCTCAACAAAAATGTCCTTTTGGGGCCAGTAACTCTTAAGTCATGTTATCATTACACACTTGTTGGCTGTAGGAGTGAGGAAAAATATTTTTTGATACGTGCCCTGATCTCTGCTAAAGAAATATGAATACAGCCACTCTAAAATAGCACACCTGTATTTTCAGATAAGCCTAGCCCACATATTTTCAAGGGAGCTCAAAGAAAGGAAATCAAGAGGTCCTTGTCTCTTAGTTTGTGTAGATTGTGTGAACTATTGTGCAAAACAAATTTGTGTGGGGGTTTTTTGTCTCTATGTGTGAAATGTGTGTTGCTGTTGGTACTGTCTTGGGATCTTTTCCTGAAGCTGGGTAATCTGTTCAGCTGTGCTAACAGTGAGGAAAAAGTAGCTTTTCTTTGTTGATACAGCAGCTCTGCATCCAGGCAGGTAGACAGCAGCATCTCTGGCATGGATATCCTCTTGGTGTTGCTATTTAGTAGAGCTGTTCATTTACTATCATCTCTGCTTAATAAGCGTGTGCATTTTTAGCCACCTTGAAATATTAGCTGTTAAAATTAATTCAAAATGTGTATATGTGCGCACACGCATGTGAGACAAAATACCCAGAAAGAAGTCCTCTGTAAAATGAGGTTTAGATCAAATTAAGACATGTAACACATTCTCAGAAAGCTGCTACAGGGAAGGCTGTATTACTGCCAGTATTCACTCACCCGTGACATGCCAGTCTGAGCTGCAGTCTGCTTTGATGTCAGGCTCCCTGCAAGTTCTTTTTTTTTTTTTTTTTCGTTTGTTTTACCAGAAAGCGTGTTGCCTACTTTGTCTTGAGAAAAATGATGATGTAGAGCCAACTTTTCTCCCTGGTATGCTTTCATGGTATTGGGTATTGCTTCCTTGAAGGGATTCACTAGATACCAGATAAAATTAATGCAGTTTGTTGAGATCAGAACCAGAGTTAGGGGTATTCACAGAAGTTGCACGTTGAGGATAATCTTGATGCAGCGTTGCTTCGTAGTATCTGTTTCAACAATCTGTTTTGTGAATATTAAATTGGATTTTTTTAAAACCTACCCAGATCTTTGCAAATAAGCGATTGTAATAGCTTGCAGAACAACCCATGCTTGTTTGTATTTTACATACCTCTTAAAAAATCAGCTGTTAAAACAATATTATGACCTTGGTTTGAGTGATGCTACCATCCTTCAGTATAGCAGTTTATAAACCTTTGGAGAGAGGCTCAATTTTGGTTTAGATGTGCGGTGATCAACAGAACAAGTCTCCAGTTCTTGTTGGAAGTTTTGAAAAGTCTGTCATGTTGTCAGTTAGTGACACCAACACACCACTTAGAAAATTTACAGTTAAGAGTTAAAAAATGTGTGCGCATTGCTAAGGAGAACAGGATTAAATACAAACAGTGGGTAAAACTTAATTGAAAAACATATTCAGCGATGATAGCTGAATGAAAGTTCATGTTTAAACCACAGTGAGAATGAGATTTCTAGTTGGAAATATGACAGGCTGCATATGTTATTGCTTCAGTCGGGCCCCAGACTTTTCCGATTAAATGAAACGTGCCCCTCTGGCGAGGGTATTCTTCAGAGACTAGAGTTTGTCACCACCATATACTTCTGCCATAACACAGTGGAATGATTTTCAGATCTTTGAATTGGTTAAAGAAATGCTGTGTGAAAAGAGGTTGTTTTAAATAGTGTTTCAAGCCTGATTTTTAATTTTTTTTTTCCTGTAAAGAAAAAAATTCTAGATAGCAAGGTAGCAAAATCTTCAATTTTTAACAAATTCTGAATGTTACCATGAATTTGACGCTGTCCAACTAAGTTGTTTTGTATGCTTATAATTTGAAAGGTGGTCAATATCCTCAAGTATTCTTCCCTCTAGGAGTTTTTGGTTCTCTATTAGTAATTGAATATAGACTGAGAGAAAGCATTCATGATTTAACTACACGTACCATTTCCAATGCGTTTTCATAAGCTCTAGTGAGCAGTCGGACAGGGGGACTGACTCTGAGCGCTCTGACTTAGATGCCTGATTAGTGTTCCTGGAGTTGTCTAGCCATCTTGAATTTGCTTATGACAATAGATTTAAGAAGCATAGTGAAGACATGCTTGGAGCAGTATAACTAATTTAGCTGCATTAATTTTCATCAGAGTCACTCTAGTAATGTGAGTAGGCATGAGTACAAACAAGCACCTCTGTGATGTTTTTATTTTTTTCCACGTACACAAGGGACAGTGATTGCTAGCAAGCTACCATAACAGTTCTGTAGAGCATTACATGAGCTTGCAAACAAGTTCCTCGACAGGGAGAAGCGTAAGATGCAATATCTTTCCACTGATTGCATAAGTGCTGAATGATGCTCTGTTCTTTGTGCGAACGACGCTGTTTCAGTGTGACAGTTTGAAGCTTGAGATACCCAAAAGCACTTTGCTACTTTTGAATAGAAATGCTTTGAAAATACCATCTGTAGTACATGTATCTCTTTCTTAATGATGCTTATCTTGTCATTGAGGGCTGGATTAAGTTGCCTTAACACTTTAGGCGACCTGCATATCGGAGATACTGACAGGAGACTAGCAGAAATATGTTGGGACCCACAGTAGACTTACGTCTTTTTAGAGCAAGTGCCCTAAAAGTCTCAAGGCAATTGAAAGCTGTCTGAGCAATGTCAACTTAAGATAAATGCATGAGAATCGTATGCGTGATAAAAAAGGGAGAATTTGCTTTTGGATTCTGTGGTCTTTGCTTTAAAGCAATTCCTTTACTGTTTGATGTAGGTTATTGGCATTTTTTGCTGAGATAAAGAAATGAAACATTTGTGTAGGAGAGAAAATTTAAACTTTTTTTCCTTTTGATTCACTTAAAACAACTGAAGAAGTGCTGATCAGGATTACAGCCATCAAAGAGTTCTTAATTACTTTGAAACAAATTCTGTTCATCATATCTGCCTACTCATATCAAGTGTACAGAACCTTTGGAAAGGTTTTGTGGACTAGCATGAACTTAAAAAAAAAAAAATTTGCCTGCTGTGTATTAATCTTTCCCATTTCTTTTTATGCTGTGAAGTGTGTATTATCTATTGTCTACTACCTGATTTCAGAAAAATAGTTTCGGAGATATATATAGATAGATAGATAGATCGTATACTTTACTCAGACTCCCTTTAAATGATCTTAATATTCATATGGTGTCTGATGTGTCTTTTTTAGTAAATAAGCCATAGCATATATTCCATATTACCTTTTTGACATCTGAAAGATAACTGCCATGGTTAGTAGTATGCTAAAGTTGGATTGCTGTCTTGTGAAAACTGTGGTTCAATACTGCTTTTCCTGCTCTGCCAGTGCCTGCCCCGCCAGTGCCTGCCCCTCAGAAAAGAGCACAAGAATGAAATTTTGTATTTGGATCTTTGAGCTAGAACCAAAACAAACCAATAGAGGCATGAGTTCTGTAGGAACCTTGCAAGGCAGGATTAAATGTCATCCAGTAGGAGTAAACAAAAAAAATGCCTCTACGCATTTCATGGATCAAACTAGAAGGATTGTAAGTTGTGTGACTGACTTTTCCAGGCCTTCTGCTGACAGTTCTGTGAATTCAGCAAAAAGAGATATATTGCTACTTTTTTAACATGGCGTCAAGAAGATAATTAACTGAAAGTGGAATAATAAGAGCAATCAACATGTGCTAAAATGAAAAAAAAACCAAAAACCACAATGCAAAGAAATCAGGGCATGCCTTTAATTAGGCTGCTGGAACTGCTGTGAATTGTTGAAATATCCAGTTGAATGGTTGAGAAAGTCAAGGTGGAAATCACAGGCATAGAGCCTGTCATGGAAAAGTGGCACAGAAGATATGGTGGACTTTGTCAGAAAGCTCCTGCCTTTAATCTACACTTTTTATAGCTAAAATAAAAGCGTAAACAAAATCTGGAGAAAAGTATGCTGATGTAAACACAGCCTTGAATATTTCATGTAGTGCACACAGGAGAAACAAACTGACCAGGTACATCCAAGAGCAAAGTACTAAGGCAAGCACCCTAATGTGGTGTGGAATCTATCAGTAAAACCCAGATCTGGAACTTCTGGTGCATTCATTTCAGAAACTAGGGGTGTGCTGGTATCAACTTAAGTTCCTCGACAACACTGTGACCTTCTCTTCCCATCGAGCATTTTTTTGCAGACACAGTTATGTCATCCAAACTGTGACTGGCACATTCCCAATTCAGATGCAAGATGCCATTTGCATCAGGCCCTCTGGCATCATTGGAAACTTGACCCTTGTAGAAACTGGTCTGCATTTGACTGTGTTCTTCTGCTCAGCTCTGGGATCAGAAGTCAGCGTAGCTTCCTCTTGCTCAGTTCTTTGTTGCTGACATTGCCATTGTTGCTTGCTGTGCTGCTCGGTTCAGAT